TATATGTGTGTCGATTTTGTGCTAATATAAGAACAATACGTATATGTACACTAGATAATACTGCGAAACTCAACACTTATAGACAGCACAGTACGACCTGCTCCGAGCTATCGCTTGCCCATATTACAAGACGCGATCAGCACGCGCAAGTATTGGCCAACTGAATACGGCTGTTGGAATCTAGTGCGTATTTCTGAACGATGCAAACCTCCATCCGGAGCCGAGCGTGAGTGCGATCATGCATACCAAAATACGTGTACATATCGCTGTCCGGAAAGGAATATTTGCAGGAGTTGCTGTCCATGTGCAAAACTCGTAGTAGGGGTCATTACCGACAGCATGTCATTGTATCTCAGTAAGCAGATGAGATAACAGACCACTCCCTTTCACAATCAGGAGTATCTGTTTGGACAGAGAATCTAGGACAATATTCACTTTCTTGTACATAACAGTAGAGCTCAGCGCCATCACATCCTACAACGAACCTGTACAAACTCAAACTTTGAACTCGAACATTCACAATGCACACATACATTTGGCGCTAGCAGTTAACGATGTTAACACAATTCTCGCGTTGCAGAAAACAAACAAGTCACTATAACTTATGTATGATATGCACCACATAATATACATGTACGCACCTGTATATCTAGGTATCCTTGCCCGTCTGCGTTCACCATCCATGGCGGCAGGGTTGTGCACAGGGACGGATCACTGGCAAGTATGTAGAAAGCTTTGCTGACCTTCTTACAACGCAGCCGCGAAAGATGCCCCATGTGGGTGAACACCATCAGCATCACTTCCGTTGGCAATACGACTCTGTACATTATGTATAGTGTAATAAGTGAGAAAGTCGGCAGATGATGAATTGGCACCCGGCAAAGATTTAGTTCCGATAAGGTGCATTCGATTTTTAAAGTGCTTAAAATGCCATAACGCATCGTCACATTTCCTCCATCCTCGAGACAAATCTGCACAGTTGAACTATCTCGAAAGAAGGTTCATATGAGGATAAATTTTTAAAGACAATACAACTCTATATATAT